CCTCGCAACCACCACCAGTTACCACTGGGCTAATGATCGCTTGTTACCCTACGCAAGCTCGAACCCGCGCCCTCAGTTTACAAGATAGACTTGTGATCGGGTCGTTTTGAGGGAAGGGAACTAGCGTCTCACACTAAAAATTGTGAGAAATATATTGAGACCAACATCATTTGGTTGTTCTTCTGTATGTACGAATATCACTTGTAAAGTATCGCCCAACACGGTTCAGATGATTTGCAGAACACGCATTCACGTACCTTATTATTGATTGAACCACTTAAGTTACTGATACCATTGTAGCTCGGACCAGTGCCTAGCCGTTTTTGTTATTTTCACACCATGGCCTCCTTTGGTTTCCAGATTATCTTTGTATTTCGCCTTGTGCCAAGCCCTTTTTATTATGCTAATGTATCTTCGGCTACAAGGCACTTAGCTTTTGTTTATACTCCTCATTTCTACTCAATTATCACGACATAGTCTAATTATTTTTCCACTTCCCACTGCTGCTATTTTCAGCGCAGACTGTAGTTTGTTGCCTCTAACCGTACCTTCGGACGGGTTGTCATCAGTTTCTTCTATCACTGGCATTTCATCGCGACGAAGCTGGACCTTAACATGGTGTGATGGTTTGTGCACCTGAATGAGCTATACTGGATGGTGCTTTTTGCACCTTCAGAGCCACTCATGCCAGATTTGTCAATGGCTAGAGGCCAAACAAACTCAGTCTCCTGGTCTTCCAGATTGGGGGTTGGAGTGAGGGTTGCTTCTTACACCATAAAACGGACTCTCTGTAGCCCAGTGCCAAAATTCCGCTGGCTTTCGGTCAGGTTTTTGAACCAAAGGCTTTGGTTGAGAACCCTAATCGTTCTCGTGTCTAAGCCTGGGCAACCTGACAGCATCCTACCTGCGCAATGCAGCTCCATGAATTTCTCTTCATACGATTTCTTGGGACTCTAGCCGTCGCAGAGAGTAATCATTGGCGCCCTATCTGCTGTATCGAGCAGGGTGGATAGGGGTTCGAATGCTACTGCTCAGACCTTCCATTCTCCTTATTCTCCTTCTCGCGCTTTTTCATCCATATCGTTCTGCTCCAACTTCACTTTTATCCCCCCCCCTGTTTTCAGTCCCCCAATTCTTGGCCCTCCCTCATCTTGCATCAATAGTTGCTTGTCTCCTAGTTTCAACTCACACACAATCGCAGTACGCCTCTCTACTTCAGTTAACAAGTCCATGTTCAACCAAGCGGACAACTTCACTTCTTCCCTTTTTCCTCGGAGCCCACGATCCTCACTACGACTGACATGGCTCAGCGGGTGCACTTTGCCGTAGCTTAGCCAACAGGCAGCCCTTGCGCAAACACTAGAGATTTTGCCGATCGATATCTGCTGCTTATCGGAAATCCGCCTGCAAGATCCGAGCTCCGTGCTTACGCTGCGATCCCCGCATGTGACCATGGCAGGACATTCTTGTCTTGCGTGTCTGGAGATGACACAGTTTTTAGTGCCGGTCAAGATGGCGTGGGCATTGTTTTGAGTCCTGCCCTAATCGATTGGATTCTAATCAACAGCTGGATGTGCGCCGTTGGATTGGCTGGCTCCTTCCAGGCTTCGAAGTCGCGCGGGGACAAACGGTGCCGTTTTGTCATCATGGACTGCGCGCCCACAAACTGTAGCACTAATTTGCTGAAAGATGATTTCTATTATCAACTTAATGGTCTTCGTTACAGATAATGTACGGATATCATGATGCTTGCTGGTGTTCTGTACGCCCAAATCGGAAAACTGTCCTCTGCTGAGCATCATCTGGGCGGCCAACATGGTGTAAGCTCTCGTAATGATAATGGGGGGTGGTTCCTACATTTGTGTGACGATACTCATCTCTTTCTCGCGAGTACTAATTTTCGCCACAGCACTCGCAGGAGAGTGACTTGGCGACCACCAGCCATGGACCCAAATCGACTACATCGCGATCAGTTACCGCTGGAGAGGCTGTGTCTAAAACTGTCGCTCGATTGGGAGTACGGGCGTGTACTTCAATCACGATCTTGTGTGTGTCGACCTTTGGGTGCGTTTCGGCAGACGTCTGCAACGTCGCTGTGACCGCATAAACACCAGCCAACTGACGAAGCCAGATGTTCTGATTACATGTCAAAGTACTCTGACATCTGGGCTGAGTAAGCGCCCACTGAACACCGTTGAAGATCACTGATCGCATATTCGCCAGACGTTACTATCAGCAGGCATACGTGGCAAATCAAATTACCAACCTGGACATTGGGTCACTTACACAGTCTGAAGCATTTTTTGCTCGCCGGCTTATTCCGGGTGGAAGCGAATACAGTGAGACTCGCAAAATCCAGCCGCTGCCGTTGGTAATCATCGTGGCTTATTCTCTCTGATACGGGAAACAGGTAGCAGGAGACCTGGTGTCAGCAAGGTCGTACGCGACAAAAGTGGATAGCCGACCCACAGTTTGTCAAAACGCTTGGAGCGTTTGGCCAAACGCTTTGAGAAACAGGTCAATCAGTCAAATTTGTCGGCTTCTCCACCGGCCATTGCTCGCCCTACTCCCTGGGCCATCCCACGCACAGAAACCGAACGTGAGATTCTACTTTTGAGATTGAATAAGTCTGCAGCGGCAGAAAGAATTCCTCCAGCCTTCTTCACATTCGGCGGACCTGCTCTTGTAGATAATTTACACTTGTTACTAGTGAAACTTTGAAAGCAGGAAATTATCCCAACAGACTTAGTTGCTTCGTCATAGTCCCAATTTTCATGGGAGGGTTCCCTTCGGAATGCTGCAGAGGGATCAGTCTGATCTCAAGTACCTCTGAATTGTTTGCTTATCCGTCTCCGCAGATTGACTGTCAATCGTGAAAATCATGAGGAACAAGCCGAGTTTCGTCGAGGTCGGGGCTGCATCGACTATATCTTTAATTTACGTCAATTGTTGGAGCATCGATACATTTATTGATGACTCACCCTCCTCGTGTTTCTCGACATAAAAGGTGTGTTCGGTTCGGTCGATCAATGTACCCTTTGGGACTGTCTGCTAAGGAAAGCTGTGCCCGATAAGTACATAGACATTATCAGAGCGCTGTACGCGTATAGTTCGGGCAGTGTTATGGTTTATGGCAAACTTTCGCCGCCCTTCAGTATCTCCAGCGGTGGGAAACAAGGTTTCCCTTTGTCATCTTTTCTTTTCAATTTTGCAATTGTCGAAGTCATGGAAGCAACATTCATTAGACACGACTCGCAAGGTGGGGCGCTGCTTCCTGGTGAGCGACTTCTTGACTTGGAGTGTGCTGACAACATCGCCCTCATAGGTGACAGCGCCCAAACGTGCCAAACAGCATTGCACCGATTACCACTGGCTGTCAATTGTTTTGGGCCATGCTCTGCTCTCTCAGAATGCAAACTCCTCCAAGAGTGGCCGGGACCTACCCATGCGCTGACCCTTTGCGGTGATCAATTGGCCACTCATGAATTTAAGTATCTGGACCGCTATATTAGCGCCCGTAGACTTGAAGATGAGATTACGAACAGTATAGCAAAAGCTCGAGATGCTTTTGCCAATCTCCGCCACCTTGGGGCAGACGTGACATTACTCTCGCTCTGAAGGGCAGAGTTTATAATGCAACTGTTCGTTCAACCCTCCTGTGCGGTTATACAACCTGGCACATAAGGTCGACAGACATACAGGGGCTAGCTACATTCTACCATCGGTGCCTTCGCAGCTTAGCTCATATCTGGTGGAGGCACCGCGTGAGCAACGAGCGTGTTCAGCGTCGCGTATTTGGTGCAGGAAGAGCGAGTGAACCGCTCAGCACCATTATGTCACGCACCAGGCTCCGATGGCGGAACCACGTGTTGCACATGTGAACACCGACTTCCGCGATGTACGTTGTTTGCACGCCCTAGTCCTTATGGAAGAGAAGGAGGGGAAGCCAAGCGATGACTTAATCATGAGGAATGAAAACGCTCATTTCAAAGTTGTAGTCGATCGGTGCATCCTGACTGTAGGGCTGGGGTCCTAAGGACGATGAACACATTTGGTTGGACTCTCGTTGGCATGGCTAGGAGCCGGCCCCAGTGGCGTCTGTGCTGTGAGTTTCTTTATCCATCCCACTCTCCTTTAGATTCCCCCTCCAATCACTTCTCATAAAAGTTAATGCTATGCTGTTTAGCATTATATTACTCGATTTTTCGAATGTAGTGTTATCTTTTTATATTGTGGCACTTTAGCGGAGGCGACTTTCTCAGCTCCAGCTAATGTGTATTTATGATGCTAATAGCACTCTCCCTTAGGTTGGTATATCCCTCCATACCATCACTTCGTGACTGTTCCGATATGCACTTGCTTCGCATGGCCATTCCAACTGAATTTGTAAAGCACCAGCTTGCAAGGTCTCAAAAAAAACAGAAATAGCTACAAACATGGAAATTTTACCCCAGTCCCGCCCCACGGATTTTGTTACGGGACACCTTTTAGTGTGGAAACCCGCACACTATATAGCACTTTTCTTATAAGTCAACAATATTCTATCGCTGTCTTCTTGGTCTAGTGACAAGGCACTGGAGTTCAGATGTCGTGGGATTGGTTCCTAGTGAATGCAAGCGATGCGTACTACTGACGGGTTTTAATAGCACAAAATAGCCATCCATTGCCCTTCCGGACGTGTGAAAGCCTGCCTCGTTGGCACAATTGCCGAGGTATTTTCCGCCTATAGCTGACACGTATAATGATGACGATGGATCCTGGTTGGCCGCCGACTGTAACTAACACTTTATAGACTCTTGTCTCGTTTGCGCAGTTAACTTGGGTCGGTTCTGCTACAAATTACGTGACTCATCGCCGTCACTCTTTTCCCACACTTTGTTTACACGCGGTTCATTTTGATCCTATTAGTGCTCAGGAATTTATTTACGCTTTACCAACTCCATTTCAAGTCATTATTTTTGGCTTGTCAAACCTGCTTTCTTGTTTCCTTGTTTCTCTAGATGATGTGCCTCCACGGTGGACTCCTCTGATTTATATGATAATGCAGTCAATGGAGGTGGATCTTCATCCTGGCTCGACCATCCGTAATCCCTCTTTCCGACCCAATTCCGTGAGCAGCGCAAATGTTGGCACCCTGAGCCTACATATTTCATCGGTTAATTCCTCTGCGAGCAATGGGGCCAGAGTAGGAAATGACGAGTCTGCACCTCCGTTCTCCGAATTAATCGCAGTCGTCTCCGATAACGGTTTAAACACTTGTGACTCGTCTCGACTACCAGCCGAAGGCAACGCTACTGTGCAGCCTGGCTCATGCTCAAGCGCGAGTGCATATCAATCTGCTTATGGCAGCGGTACCCACGATGGTTCTGTTTCTCTCTGTACCTCTTTCGGCACAGGTGAGCCAGCACCTGTGTCGAGTGCAACCAATGGACCTCTCGTAACAGCTTCAACAGCGATGGGGAAGTTTGTCACTAGCCATGCTCCAAGCAGTCGACTCATTTACGCATCAGAACGACATCCACAGCAATCTTTGGAGTCTATGAATTGCTTGCGCAAAAACCGGGAGTTATGCGATGTGGTACTTCTCGTGGATGGCCGGGAGATATTCACACATCGAGTTGTACTGGCTGCATGTTCCGCATACTTTCGCGCCATGTTTACAGGGGAACTGGCCGAATCGCGTCAAACTGAGGTCAGAAATTAATCCGTCCGGTTTGTACAATAGTAGCTTGCTTTTTAAGCCATTGAATAGTCTGCAGCTCTGACTGTTTGTAATACTTTCCTTTGTCTACCCTACTTTCCGCATGCTCGCTGCCGTTTGTGCAGCACTCCCATTCACCATGTCCATCTACATATCGCTTGACATCCTTTTAACTGATAAGCTAGCCACTGCGAATAGGGGAAATTTAAGGCCGTGTTTTAGCCATTGAGACTGAACTGATAACACAGGGCTGAGAACAAACCTCAACGAGTGAAAAGATGCAACATTGGCAAATATGTACAAACTTACGTGCTGTCAACTTTGCCACAGATTTCACTGGAGGCTTATTTTACTGTGGCTTGTCCTGGTTTTCTGCAAGCTACACGACGCTATCTGTGTCAACACAATGCTTTATTCTAGTATTTTCATTTTTCACACTTTAAAGCCCCTACTATGGATATGCCGACAAGATCATTTATTGGCTGAACCGAAATTCTGTGTGCTAACGGGACCTCATTAAGTCCTATGATTCGTAATCTAAAGACCGTCACAACTGGTGCACCTGACTGCAGGATCTAGTCCAAGATGCAACTCCGTCCGTGCAACTCGAGAAATATTATTCATCGCTTCCCGATTCACTGCAAATGTGAGATGGCCTAAAAGACATGAGAAATATGACACCACATTTTTACATGGGTAATAAGTGAGCGATGATCCTCGTTTGGGATTGTCCGCTGATGCATTTCCACGGAAATTAAACCATGAGACAAAGTAGCAACCAGAAAACGGTATCATCTTCAACCAACTTAGAAACTAACGGCTGCACGCACTTCATTGTGCCTCCGGCCCAAACATTCTGCACTTCCAAACTATTTCTCCCGTCCAGCATGTATGCCGTGCTATGTGATACACTACGACATGGGAGTCCGTATATATTTTGCACAATAGCGACAGCTCGGAACTGATTGGCTGACTGTACAGTTGCATAATGCGATTGCGCCACGCGTGTACGGTGTAGTTGGGATTCAGGCATACCGAACGGTGTTGATGAGACGGAGAAAAAATTAGGAACCAGACATGCCAAGTAAAACATATGGTAACATGCTTCATTGATATGGTCGAAAGTCCGATATGCGCATCTCATAGAACAGAATAACGCTGCAGTTCAACTTATACTAACAAGACCATAAGCAAGCAAGGGTATGGGTATGGGTGTGTGTCTCATGAGGTGGAGAAAATGTTCGCCCTGTCACCTGCAGAAAAACAGCCGGTAGTTTAAGTCAGTGACGCTTTCAAATAAGTGACGACCATAGCTATTCTACATCATTCACTCGTTTATGATATAATGTCACTCTTTCTTCGTAGCTACCCCTCAGCGGTAGTACTCACACTAGCAGCTCATTTCATACATACAGTTGCTTAAAACAGGCTTGTCTACTCTTTATCCGTGCTGGATAGCCGACCTCACTGGCGTTTGTTTTGTGAGTTTCTTTGTCTACCCCCTTCCCGCTTCTTTTCCTCCTGCAACAACGATCTCATTGTGCATAGATAATATTGGCATTATTTTACTTGCCCTTTTAGTTTTTGTATTCTGTATTGACCGAGTGGTATGCGCGTCTGATTTGCAACCATAAGGTCACCGGTTCCAATCCGCGTAGGGGCGGGCACCCTCGCGGTATACTCAGTCAACGCGCTACTGGTGGTGGTCTCGTAACATCGAAGCGCCGTTACGGCGTGCAGCTGGCGATTTATTTATTTTATTTTATTTCTCTTTTGTATTGCTGCACAGCTAGCTAAAGCGTGTTTCTCATCTTCATCTAATGTGTAATGATGATAATCCGTGATAAAACTAGAATCTTAAAACCGAAGGTTGTACCCATATCCACGTGATAACCATATACCGCCCATCTCTGTGAGGCTGGACCTTAAAACGGTGGTACGTTTTTCATGTCTCTGTGACTCATCGAACCAAACTTGACCTGCCATTGGTTAGAGACCAGGCAAGCTCAATCTTCTCACTCTCTTCATCTGGAATCGGGGTGAAGTGAGTGTATATATATATATATATATATATATATATATATATATATAATCGCATCTGTAGGTCACCACGTGGCATTTGTCAACGGAGAATGGCATTTTCCATTTAGAACACCATGAATCAAGCGTGTGTAATTCACGTTGGATCGCACTTAACGTACTACTACATTCAGTGAGGTTAAAGGTGTAAGCGATCTATATATCCTCGGCAAATAGAAATGTTCTACCAAAGATAAAGACGTCAAAAACGTCATTCAAATACAGTAGGAATAATAAATGGTCCAGGATACCGCCTTGTATCACACCACCAAAGACTGGCTTAGGCGGGCTTATTACATTTTGGACCTGGACAACCTGGGTTCTGTTCATGAGGTGCGAATCGAACCACGACAGCAGAGAGTTGCCTGTGCCATGTGCAGTTAATTTGCATAAGAGAGAAGCATGCGAAACACCATCAAACGCCTTTTCCATGTTATGGTAGACGACTAGTTGATGAACCACAGTCAAACGAACTAATCCAAAGATTGAAAAAATCCATCTGGCATGTTATGCAGAACCGTGAGCTTAGGAAGCCGTGTTGCGAGGTGTTGATAAGATTTTGTGTCAGCAAAAAATCTACAGTTTCGGACTTTGTATGACGTTCCATCATTTTAGATAGAATGGAAGTATAGCTTTTTAGACGGTACTTCCTCGTCTCATGCACGAAGCCTGATTTGTAACGCGTTGTAAATATGGCATTCTTCCACTGTGCTGACACAATACTGGGTTTTCGTAGATAGAGAGAACAAATTCAAAAGTAGTATGGAGATATCGGTGCCCCGTTTTTTTATCCAGGTTGGCGGGCGATTGTCAGTTCCAGCATACCAAGATAGTTTAGTGCATGAAATAAGACGATTAATGTCACGGAGTTCGATTTCTACCGTGCAGATCTTAGCATCCGTAAGCATAGGGCGGATTTGCGCACTAATCTCAGTAGTGGTGTTAAATATGGAGATAAAGTGGCCGTCAAAATCTTTCTCTGTGTGATGGGTCGCTTGTTATTCGGCTGCCACAAATCAAAATGGAGGGGATTCCTGTTATTTTGTTTCTGCTTTTCCTTTCTCCAGTCATGCGCCTGTTTTGTCTAAATTGTTCGACTTCAGCAATAACCCGTTGTTTTTTCATTTTTCGAATAACGACTGCGAAGCTCCGTGAGTTTATTGGCAAATTTATCGGGGGTGGAGATGGATTTTTCCTTAACCGGAAAGCGCCGATACCTCAATGGGATAAGGGGTTCAAACACATTTCAACATTCCTGTAAAGTTTAACAGCGGCCACTCGTGCGTCATTCATCAGGAACGTGTCCCAATGCAAAGATCTCAGGAGGGTCGAAAACTATTCGAAGTTATACAGTCTATAAAGAACTGCAGATTGGTTCGTGGGGGATCATATTAATAATTGGACCATCTTGTGATCATTGCCAGGGAATTTGTCTAGGACAACGGTACAGCCTACGGATGCAACTAATGTAAAGGACAGATTAAGGATGTGGTAATCCCTGGTGGGGGAATTAACATGTTGCTTCCATCCGTGCTTTCATGTTGAGTCTTTATTTCAGGTGGTCAGTTTGCTATATTGTCCTAATGCATTTTATCCCATATTAATGTCTACCTGAATTATCTTCTATTAACTTGCACACGTTGCTTAAGCTAATTGTAGTTAACTTCGATAACATTTTCGCGTTTGTAGCATTTTCTTAAAATATATTTTCTGACGTCTTGAACCTATCGCGGATTCGTTGGCAACCAATTTATTTCATATGCTCATTTGGTGAAAAGTTGGGTCACAGTATCTGCTATGCATTATTCGATTTCAAATTCTTGGAAGGTACTTGGAACCGATCGAGTAGTCATGAGTTCAGCGTTGTTTGAAAACAATCGGTTGGTATAATAGTTTGGTAACGTTTCGTCCTCAACACGAGAGCTTCGTCAGACCAGGTGAATCAGTGTGCAATTGGTGTGGGATTTTATAGCGAACAGGGGAGATAACCGCGTTACCCGAGACCTGAGTGAAATGAAAATGAAATGTGTCAGCTTATACGCCGTAACGGCGCTTCGCTGCCGCGCGACCACCACCAGTCGCGCGCGGGCTGAGTATACCGCGAGGACGCCCACCCCTACGCGGATTCGAACCGGTGACCTTATGGTTGGAAAGCAAACGTGCAGACCACTCGGCCACCGGCCGAGTGGTTGGCATGAGTCATGATGTCATTACAGTAACAGTTGGTGATGTCACCTCAGGTGGTACGATCACAGTGGGAATAGTCCAGGGGTTCCTTTGTGCGTCATGACAATGACGGATAAGCCCATAGTGTTGACAATGGGAGTCGATTGACACTTTCCAATCTGATCCACGCACCGATGCTCGTCAAGCTGGCTGGCTTAAGACCGCCCGCCACGCATTAGGGAGTTCTACCCCCTCCATTCTAATCACGCAGTCGTCAGATTTGGCATAAAGTGCTACACCGGCAGTCAAGACCTCCAGCTGAGTGGATAGGGACGGTCGGAATTCCGTACAAGGAAGGCACTTCGGAGGGTACTAAACAAAGAAAATATAAGGGTGATCTTTCAGCGAGGTCGACCGTTACGTTCGGCGCTGGTACACCTGAAGGACCCCCTTCCCAAGGATAGGACGACTAACTGTGTTTATAAAATTAAATGTAAGCGCTGTGCACATGTGTACATAGGCCAAACAGCGCGAGAATTACGCACACCAATTTCGGAGCATAGGAGGCGCATTTCAAGACTACCAAGGAACGAGTTTGAATACCAGGCAATAGTAAGAGACTCGGCCGTAGCTGTGCATGCATTAGACACGAGTCACCAGATAGACCTCGAAAACGTAGAGGTCATTAGGTGGGGTATACGATCAACCACTCAGCGATAGATTGCCGAGGCGGTGGAAATTGCCAA